TTTGGAGATTCGCGCTTAAATTTCTTCGATTGCCCTCAAATTTGGACAGTAGCTACAATCGGCGACATATTTAGTTGACACATTGTCTTTCCGTAGTACTCTTAGTGCACCAAATAACACGACTCTTTTACCGCACAGTAAACTGTGGAAAACACCCCGCTCCCCCATTCAGTGTTGCTTGTTTGCTCCTCAAGATCACAGCAATTGCGGCACAACATTGTTTGGGGGAACGGGGGACTGAAAGGACAAGCTAGGGGGGCAAAAAGGGATCACAGTGACGAAATAGGGGGTTAAAAAGTTGAATGTGTCAACAATTTTGTCGCCGATTGTAGATTAACATAATTATTATAATAAACAAAAACGTGTCTGCGAATTGTTTATTTCGAAATATTTTTTCTTTGAGAGCGTTTTTGGTACGATCACTTCACATTTTTAAAATCCTATTTCGAAAATAGTCTGTAACTTTTTACTGAAAATGAATAAGGCAAAACGCAGACACACTTTCTTAGCGCTTTTTGTCCTGAAACCGGGGAAAAAATAAATCGGCGAAAAACAACATTCGCTTTGACTTGTAGCTTCCAAAAGGTGATTAGGGCGCTCGCATTTATTGCTCCTGAAAAAAATCGGCAATTCATTTCATTTCAAAATTGTTGGTATAGTTTGATAGCCAGCTCTATAAACTTTAATTTGATATGGGGGTTTAGGTATCTACCGCTTAAACCGGACGCGTCACATCGCTTGGACGCGATACGGTAACCTTAATCGATTCTTTGAACTCTAGTAAACGACCTCTATCAATTGAGAGCGGGGGGGGGCACATGGAAGATGCAAACCTCTGATTTACAAGCACGTGATATTTGTAGCATAATAATTGCTGTATGCTCTTTTCCTTTCGCAAACGGCGAGAATAGTCGTAACCTTGGTCACAACTTTCTTACATATCGCCTTTTCATTTAGTCACAACGCAACTGTTTGGTATTGGACATAATAAAGGTTATTTATTTAACAGGTTTCAAGAACTAAATGATGACTTATTTGGATACACACTAGAACTAGTGATCAAAGCTGTGCGAGATAGCAACTTCCAAAGGGGTGAAATTCATGAAATGCTGGTGACTGGTGGGTCTATGCACATCCCAAGGGTTCAAGAGCTACTGAGAGATAATTTCGGTGGAGAAACACTGAACAAAAGCCTCAATCCACAAGAAGCTGTGGTGTATGGAGCCGCTGTTAATGCTGCGATATTAGAAAACGTAGGGAGTGCTGCAACCCAAGACCTACTTCTGTTGGATATCGCACCACTGTCCCTAGGAGTTGAGACGGCTGGAGGGGTGATGACGTCATTAATCAAGCGAAATTCAATACTGCCAACAAAACAAA